CAAGGTAAATTTTTGCAGCCGGAGCTCGTCGTAACCCAAAAAGTTCGTTAACAGAGGCGTTCGTAACCCGAGGTACCACTGTAATTTAGATGGAGTGTTACACTCTAAAAGGGATCCAAAATTTGATAAAAATGAGCTCAGACACTTATATGATCCACTGGTTACTGTTTCAGTGCTTGAAAACAATTATATATCAGTTTTTGAGTATCTGCGGTTGGATTGTATACAGGTAGTCCTCAACTTATGACCACAATAGGGACTGGAAAATTCATCGTTAAGCAGTGTGGTCATTAAGCAAGGCATCATGTGACCGCATCTGATTTTATGACATTTTTTGCAGTGGTCATTAAGCAAATCACTGCAGTTGTTAAGTGAATCATGCGGTCATTAAGTGAATCATATGGTTCCCCATTGATTTTGCTTGTCGGAAACTGGCTGGGAAGATTACAAATGGCGATCATGTGACTCCAGGATGCTGCAACTGTTGTAAATACATGCTGGTTGCCAAGTGCCTGAATTTTGATCACATGACCGCAGGGGTACTGCAGTGGTCGTAAGTGTGAGGACTGGTCATAAGTAATTTTTTTCAGTGCCATTGTAACTTTGAACGGTCATTAAACGAATGGTCATAAGTTGAGGACTACCTGTAAATTCTACATTTTGTTCACCCAGTCGGGAAATAAATACTAAAAGCTGACCTTCTCCACCTGATACAGTTTCAATGTATCATTGGGAAAAACATAAGATGAGACTTTTTACTTTCAGCTGCTACTCTACTGATAAAAATCCCAACATCTGTTGCTCATTTAGAATTATTGCTCACCACCACCCCAAAACCATTTTTTTAATAAAAGCTGTTTATCTTTAGGAAGGATATGGTACAAAAAAGCAATTTAATTTGCCATATTCTTAAAACTTAACTAACACTTATCAACACTGTGCTGGAGAATTCAGCACTTCAACATTCCATACTGCAAAGGAGATTGCCATAGATATTATTAATATTAAAAATAGCAAGAAGGGATGTATTCTGTATGGATCCATGCCACACAGGGACTGTATTAGATCCCTAGGATTTAAAAAAATAATAAACCATGGTCATTAGTAGTCAAGCATTCTGGAACTCTCACCTCCTGCATCCTACACAAATTAATAAACTAATTGGGGGTGTTATTGTTAATGTTATGCAGTAAAATGAGGAAAGGAAAAGGAAATAAATTCTGATGAGTAATCTATTAAGATATATTAACCTTAAACGAAGGCAGATTTAAGGGTGGGAAAGAAAAAGCAAGGGAGAAGGGAAGAAAGAGGGAAAGAGAAGGGGGTAAAAAGAGCACAGATGTTAAAAAATCTACAATTGGTGATCTTTCCCTGTTCCCAAAGTTATACAGAAGAAACAAGCAAATAGATAATTAAACTCCCCCCCCCCAAAAAAAATGAAATTGAACAGCCTGAAT